CTGCCCACTCCCCCAGGCTGTTTGATCCGTAACTTTGGAAGAACAAGGCACTGGTCTCTGGCTATTCTCACTGGCTGCCCCCATGGCTGGAATGCTCTTGGATCTCATTTTCACCTCCGGGCTTCCCTGGCGTCTTTCAAGTCCCAGCTAAAATCTCACCTTCTACTGGAAGCCTTTGCCAGGCCTCCTTATTTCCAGTGCCTTCCCTCTGCTGGTTATTTCCTGTTTATTATACACGTGGGGGGGGGGTGGCCAACACCTTGTATGTTGTGCATGTGTGTTTGCTTGTTGTCTCCTTCATCAGACGCAGGGACTGTTCCTTTGCCTCTTTTTGTACCCCCAACACTTAGCCCAGTGCCTGGCATATAGTAGGCACTTAATAAATGCGTAGTGACTGAAGTCTGGATTCAAGTCGTCCTTCACGCTCTCTTGGCTGTCACGGTTTCTGGACTTGATGACCTCTGAAGTCCCTTCTAGCTTTAGTCTGTGAACTCTGCGGACTCCACAGCCTCTGACGTGGTGGTGTGACCCTGTGCCAGTCCCTTATCCTCCAGATGTGTCAGACAGTTCTAAGACGTACGTAGGTGGAGGGAGTGCTCCCGTGGGCTGTTCACCCCTCATCTCCGAATCTTAGTATCTGGGAAGGCCTGTAACCAAGATTGGTGAAGGTGGGTTTGGTAAACCAGTGGTTCCCAATCTTTCTCCAACTGTAAAAAATTACAACCTCCCTCCCCCCTCAAAAGGCTGCTGCAAATTCAGGGGTGCTTTTAAATGAATTTGTAGTTTACTCATCATAGCAGCATCTGCCTCTATTGGAAGCAGGCCTCTCTGGGTGTGAGTCAGAGTATTGATTCTGGCTGGATTCTATTAACGAGGGGCCTTGCAGCCTCCGGAGAAGGGAAGGCCAGTCAGCACAATGCATGTTCCTCCTTAGATCAGATCCCACACCCAGCTCATTAATGAGGTCAGTGCTGTGTGTCGCCCTGCTTCACAGCTTCATTCAGTTCAACAAGCATCTGTTAAGTGCCTACTGTGTGCCAAGTGCCACGTGAGGTGCCAGGAACAGGGGGTGTCTTAGGGAGCTCGGTCCCCCGAGACAGGTCAGTGCCTGCTCCATGACCCAGAGTCTTAGACGTTCTCAGGGAGTGCTTGGAGGTTAAGTGACATGCCCTGGGTCACTTCCTGGGTGACTTCCTGGCCTTGAGGCTTGACTTGTAGCCCTCCTCGGCACGGGACCGGCACATCTGTGGGACGTGCCCCTGATAGAAAGCCATGGTCTGGGCCATGCAGTTTGTGGAAGGTCGGTAACGATCCGAAGTGCGAGAGGTCTCTCGCAGAGTCTGTGTCGTCCCCCTCAGGGAGGGGTCTCTGAGATTCGCTCGGGGGCCCTGAAGCGGAGTGGCCTTCTTTGCCACCCCAGGCAAGTCCAGGAACCTCTCTGTGGCCTAGGCGCATCTCTGAGACTAAGCTACGGAGAAGGTGGCCGCCTGCATTGGACAGGGGAGGGAGATTAAAATGCAGTTCCGAGCTTCAGTCCCGACCCCCATAAGACAAGTTCCCTCCATGCCCTTTTACAAGGCAGTGTTGTTTACTCCCCCAGGGACTGAGGAGGCAGCTATATATGAGTGGATAGAGACCAGAGTTCAAATCCAGCCTCTGACACTTACTGCCTATGTGGCCCTGGGCAAGTCTCTTTGGCTTTGGTTGCCTCATTTTCCTTATCTGTAAAATGGGGAGAATAGTAGCACCTCCCTCCCAGGGTTGTTGTGAGCTTCAAATGAGAGATTTCTAAAACACTTAGCACTATAACAAAGTCAGTGCTTAATCACTGCATCGGTCCCTTCCTGGCTTCCTGTCCAGATCTTCACTCTTCCATTTGTGCATTAGTCCAGAGGACGATAGAAGGAGCATTAGAAGTCATCAAATCCAAGCTCTTCCCCCTTCCCCCCAAGTGAAGTGAGTGGCCTAGGGTCACACAGCTGGTCAGTGCCATCCATGGGTGGCATTTGAACCCAGGTCTTCCTGACCTTGAGTCCAGCGTTCTATCCACGACACAGTGCTACCTCCCCAAATTCTCTAAACTGTTTCATGCAGATACAGTCATTGATAATTAGATGTGTACGGATATGTGTAGTGGATAGAGGGCCAGCCTTGGAACCCAAAAGACCTGGGTTTCAGAGAGTGGAAAGCCAAAAGAGACCTTGAGAAATGATTTAGTTCATCCCCATGCCTTCAGGCAAATAAAATAGCCCACAAGGTAAACATGTATTATGTTGGAGACATCCACTCATGACTTTGTAATCTCCCTTGATGATACATTCTGGTTTGCTTTACTTTTTTGTTCTCGACTTAAGACACCAAATAAAAATGAGGGCGTCCATATATGTAATAGAACAAAAGTGAGGCTTGAACACACATCAAGTTACAAATCTCTGTTATACAGCTGACTTTTCTTGTTAAGCATATGAGCAGTTTCACATGTCATTTTCAAAAACTGTTCTGCTTGTCCGATTCCTTCCTTCCTCCCTTCTGTCCTAGGCACGTATTAAAAATGCTCCAGTCACCCTCTTTTCTTTCTTTTTGTGGCTGTCTCGTTTCTCCTTTCCCTTTCCCTCCCCAGGCCTCCAAAGAGGATCCCTTCTGGTGTTTTCAGCTCTCCCCGTCAGCCTTGAGTCTCTCCCACCGTCTGCACAACCTCAGCTGGGCCCTCACTGCAGCTCGGCAGTCCTGCACCTCCCTCATCAGCTCGCTAGCCCACTCTCCATAATGACTCTTCCAAACGTTCTCCTTCCTCGGTCCTCTCAGCTGAGAACCTTACCTTAGCGTTCCCGGAGAAAACTGAGGCCATTTGCCGTGGACTCCCTCTTTCTCCTCTCCTCTCATCCATCTTCCTTCTACCACTGTTTCCTTTTTTACTCCTTGTCTCACAGGAAGAGGTGACCTTTCTTTTTGCCGAGTCTGATCCTTCAGCCAGCACAAGCCACACCATTCCAGCCTGCCCTGTCCAGCAGCTTGTCCCTCTGCTATCCGTTCTCTGTCACCTCTGGCTGCTGGCTGCTTCCCTACTTTGTACAGACACACCCATGGCTCCCCTACTTGATCCTGCTGGCCCCAATAGCTCTTCTGCTTTTATGACTGAGTGTCTTGAAAAGGCTAACTGCAGGAGGTGCCCCTAGAACTGTCAGCTTCTGGCTTGATCCTCTCCAGAGCTGCCAGATCCAACAGCATTGCCTCAGTGCTTATCCTTCTTGAGTTCTCTGAGGCCTCTGACACTACTGATCACCCTTTTCCCCTTGATACTGTCCCTGGCTCTCCTAGCTGACTGTTCCTTCACAGTCAGCTTTGCTGTGTTTACCCACTAACTTGGGATGTCCCTCAGCACTTTGTCCTGGGCCTTCTCTTCTCCCTCTAGATTGCTTCACTTGGTGAGCTCATCAGTTCCATGGATTCAATTATCATCTCTAAGCGGATGATTTTGAGATCTGCCTATCCCACCCTGACATCTCTGCCGACCTAAAGTCTCTCATCTGCTGCATTTCAGACGTCTCCAACTGGATATCCAGTGGACTTCTCAAACTCAGCGTGTCCAAAACTGAACTCACTGTCTTTCCCCCAGACCCTCCCTTCCACCTTTCTTCCCTCTTACTGTAGAGGGCAATACCATCCTCCCAGTCTCTCAGGCTCACAACCAAGGAGTCATCCAGGATTCCGCACTATCTTTCCCTTCCCCCCATATCCAAGCTGTTGCCAAGGCCTAGTGATTTCCACCTTTGCAACATCTCTTGAATACACTCCCTTCTGTCCTTTGATTCTGCCACACACGCCCCCATCCCAGTACAGATCCTCATCATCTCATACTTGGACTATTGCAGTAGCTGCTGGTGGGTCTGCCTGCCACGAGTCTTTCCCCACTCCACCCCCCTCCTCTGTTCAGCCGCTGAAATGATTTATCTAAAGCTCAGGTCTGACCACATCGTGCCCCTATTCGGTGAACTCCAGTGGCTCCCGACCATGTCCAGTATCAAATACAAAATGCTCTCTTTGGCATTCAAAGCCCCTCATGATCTAGCTGCCTCCTGCCTTTCCAGTCTTCTTACACCTACTCTTCGATCTAGTGACACTGGCCTCCTGGCTGCTCCACCCTCCTGGCTCCACCATTTTCTCTGGCTGTCCTCCATGCCTGGAAGGCTCTCTTCTTGTCTGCCTCCCGACTCCTTCAAGTCCTAAAATCCCACTTTCTGTAATAAACCTTTCCCACCCACCCCCCTTAATTCAAGTTCTTCCCATCTCTGAATTATTTTCCTATTTATCAGATATGTGTGTGTCTCATTTATAAACAATTGTTTGCTTGTTGTCTCTCCTGTTAGATTATGAACTCCTTGAGAGTGGGGACTGTCTTTTGTCCCCTTTTGTATCCTGAGTGCTTAGCACGGTTCCTGGCGCGTATTGCCTGCCTGGCTGTGCCAGCCCCATACTTGTAGCTCCAGGCATTGAAAGGGGCAAGGGCTTGCTAAATTCAGTCACCAAAGATCACTAAGGGTCAGTCGGCAATAAAGAATGGGATTGGCCACGTGCAGGTCAAGGCCCTCAAAGTGAGCTGAAAGCCGGTGGGATCCAGTTCGAATAGACTTCCCATCATACCCAGGACTCTTCAAAATGCGATAGATTCCTTTTATTTTCACATCACCTACATTTCTCAGTGTGTCTCTTCCCCCAGCCCCTCTTTTCTTTAAAACAAAGAATAAACAATGGAACTACCATATTGGAAGAGTCGAATACGTCTGTAGGCCTCCTTTTCCACCACTGCCCAGGGTGGAGGTCCTAGCCAGGACTTTAAGAGGAAGCTTAACACTAACGTGGTGTTCCCAGAGGAGCAGTTCAGGGAGTCTCAGGTTGGCTCCCCAGGAGTTTCTGCCACAGTTGTTCAATGACGAAGAAGGAAGGTGTCACTTCTCTTCATTCCCTCAAGTTGTGGTCTTCCTGTTTCCTTTCGTTCCCAGGGCTATCTCTGTTTGCCATACATGGCTTTGCAGCAGCATCACCTTCTCTCTGATGTGACTGTCCGAGGATTTGTTGCTGGGGCAACCAACATTCTTTTTCGGCAACAGAAACACCTCAGTGATGCCATTGTAGAAGTACGTCTTGAGTATGGGGAGCAGAACAAAGAAATGGGGGGTTGTGTGGGCAGGAGACAGATGTCCTTGTACCTCCAAGGGGTTTGCATTGAAAGTAACTTCCCCCCTAGAGTGGGGATGGAAGTACGGATGATCCCCACCAGAACGTCTACCATGCTTATCTAATTTTTAAAACTTGCTTTCAGCAAAGGTCAGTCATTTCCCCACATTTCTAGTTCAAAACACTGGTTCTCTTATGGTTTAAAAAAGGTAGAAGCCAGAAATAAATACTCTACCTTATTTTTTGTGAGTACCTCAGTGACAAGATGTAACTCATTGGTCACATTGGAATAGTTGTGGCTAGATTCTTTAGGACCCCTGTAAGATGTGTGGTTTGGGGTTGGGAAGGGGGCAGAATTATACCTCAGTGGAGTTCCAGTGAGTTTAGAAGTGACAGAAAATTTTTTAAAATTCAAGGTACAGTCTGACTTTTTATTTAAAGGATGAGCTCCCTTGTTTGGGGGGCAATACGGTGCTGAGAGAACCTTCTGGTTGTATAACCTTTCGGGCCTCTGGGACCCTTCTAACCCCACATCTACGGACCTGCAAGCTTTTCTTTTCGATCAAGAGTTGCTCACCTTTTCTGTGTCAGAGACCCCTTTGTGGACCCCTTCTCAGAATCAGTTGTTTAAATGATTGAAGGAAAGGCTCAATTTCAGTTAGCGGGTCCCCTCATCCAAGTTCATGGACCCCCGGAAACCTCTTCATGGACTTTTGGGGGTTCATAGGCCCTAGAATGAGAAGGCTTATTTTAGATTCTCATTTCGGTTGTACGGTATATGACATCCCCAAATGATGATACACGCGTCCATGCCTCGTAGGTAGAAGAAGCAGTCATTCACATCCATGACCCAGAACTGAGGAAGATTCTGAGCCCTACCACTGCTGACCTGAGATTTGCTGACGATTTGGTGAAGCACGTGACTGAGAACCGAGATGACGTGTTCCTGGACGGGACAGGTTGGGAGGGAGGGGACGAGTGGATCCGAGCACAGTTTGCAGTCTATGTACACGCCCTGCTTGCTGCCTCACTGCAGTTAGGTAAGAATCCCGCCAGTTGGAGCCCCCTTGCAGAGGGGGCAGAGAGTACACCCTCTCAAACTGAGCTTAATAAAGCAAAACATAATAAATATTTTAAAAATAAAATAATAAAAACTACTTATTATGATTAAATAAATTATATTAATGATATATTGAATTATTACATTAATATATAGAAGTATTTATAAATGAAATGAAAAAAAAGAGCAGAAATTTAAAAAGGAAAAAAAACAAACCATAGTTCAGTCATTCCTTTCTGGGCATACTCAGAGACAGGCCCCCTAAGAGAATTCCAAAGAGCTCCCAGAGGTTTTCTGGGCCATCTCCCACTCCTGAGACGGGCGTCACTGACAGGCTTCAGGCCCCACCAGGCCTGCTGGTGAGACCTTCACTGCATTACTCTTTGGGAGTTCTCAGGTCGCTTCCTAGTTTTCCATTTTGTGAGAAGGCCAAGTGACAGGGATGGCCCACTGCCGTGATAATGTGTAAACGTGCGGGTTGAGCAGAGGGCAGCCATCGGCACCCCAGACCCTGGCTGAGCTGTGCAGCACCTGTGCCATGCTGGCAAGCCCCTCCCATCTGGGAGACAGGATGTTTTACCATGAGTTCAGTGTTGTTTCACCCTTCTAGGTAAGGAGACTGAGGCACCGAAAGATCCGTTGAGTGCCCTGGAATCAGTGTCCTCTGACAAAATAAAATGTCCAGCCTTAGACTCCTGCAGAGTTCTTCCCATCTAACCACATGGCCTCATGAGGAACCGTTGCTTTTTCTTAATAAGGGATGGTCTTAACGTTGGGGCTGTTGGCGGTGGAATCTGACTTGTCCTAGAGAGTGCCTTGAGGAAGCATCCCCGTCTTCCCCCGTGGCTGTTACCAGTGTTCTTTTCCCTTTGTACCTTCAGTAACAGCAGTCCTTGCAGGCTTCCCGTCAGCGAGGGCCACCCCGAAGGCTCTCCATGTGACTGAGAAAATGGAATTGGGGTTTTAGGCCTGAAGTGTGGGAAACGTCCTCAGTCTTAGACACATTGGCTCCTATGTGTGGGAGGGTATGAGGAGTCCAAGTCCCATCCAGATTCTTAGAGAGCTCAGTTGTCAGTCCTCTAACTGAATTGATTTTTAATAAAACTCTTTCCTTTGAAAAACGGACCTGGTGATGAGAAGGGGGCGAGGGTGGGTGGGTGCAGTTCTTTGGGTGGTATTTGCCCCCTCCCTGGCTGGAAGCCCTTCAGGCTGCATCAGATGTTTCTTTGGCAGATAATGAAAAGATGCTATCAGACTATGGGACAACCTTTGTCGCGGCCTGGAAGAATACACACAATTACAGGGTCTGGAACAGCAACCGACATCCGGCTCTGGCAGAAATAAACCCAAAGTAAGGAGACTGGGGGGGGGGGGAGAAGGACACTGCAGTAATTCAGAGGGTCTGCAGGCCCTGCCAGGAAGCCCCTCCACCGTGTCTGCCGCCCTCCACGCCAGCTCCTGCCCGGGTTGTCTCGTGAGTCTGCCCCACTGGCCTCCCTGCGTGGTGGAGGCTGTCCTCATGCGGTACAGGGAAGCCCACGGGCTCTCCCGGGCTGCTCCTCACTTGTTCTCCCTCTGGGTCAGGCACTTCTTTGATCCCTCCCTGACTTCTCTGCCTGTTCTTTTTCCTTAGTTGTTTAGTGGCGTGTTCACACCTAGCACGCAGCTGTCCTTGCTCTGGGATTCCTCCTCCTGCTAGTGACACAGATGTCACAGCGCTCCTCTCCGAGCCTTTGCCCTGGCCGTCCCCTCTCCCTCCTTGCCTTCACCTCTTAAGATCCCTGGCCAGAGTGCTGCCTTCCACAGAAGCCCATCCTCCTTCCCCTCTGAGGTTACCCTCCATCTACACTGCCTTTAACTCCTAGAGACCTACTTATGTGCAGATTGGCTTTGCAGTTAGACTATCAGCTCCCTGAAGGCAGGGACTCTGTTTGCTTTTTCTTTGTATCTCCGGTGCTTGGCCCCAGGCCTGGCACATAGCAAGCACTTTATAAATCTTTACTGATGGAAGCAGTCATGTGTCACCAGTAAGCATTGGCATTAACATCAGACTTTTTCCTGGGAGAAATCTGGAATCAGTAAAAGGGTTCTGCAGTTTCCCAAAAGCAGTCCAACTTGCCCTCCTCATTTTGGTTAATTCTGGGGCCAGCTCCTTCTCCATTTGTAGTATCCAGGGGATGTGTGTATGTGAACACACACTGATGGACAGGTGCACATCGGAATCCGGACAGTGGGCATTCTTCATCCGCTTGGTTTTCTGTGTGTATAGTTAGGCTTCTACATCCTGCCTAGAGGCCCTCCTAGTGTTGTGGGGGATCACAAGTAGGAGCCTTGGGGGCCCCGCCCCCTCCCCAGGGGAGCTCACTTTCCTTGGGACTCTGGGCCAGAGTTCCTCCTTCGAGTAGAGGGCCAAGATCAGAGGGCGTAGACTAACTGGCGTGATGTCCAGCCCTGCCCTTGGGCTCCATGATCAAACAGCGTGCTACTGCTGCATGATCTCGTGAGTGGCCCTGCGGTGGCTGGGAGAGCCTTCTGCTCAGCCCACCCGCCTTCCATCTCCTTCTGCACCCCATGATGTCACCGAGGGTGTCACTCACCTAGTTCAAAAACTCCGAGCGGCCGCTCAGTCCACTCTGCAGGCCTGGATCTGGCGCTCGGGGCCCTGTGCCATCTGGTTGTATCTCACCCTAATCCTGTGTAACCCAGCAGATGGTGATGCAGTGCATAGAGTACCAGGCCTGGAGTCAGGAAAGCCCGAGTTCAAATCCAGCCTCAGACACTTCCAAATTAGGTGATCCTGGGCAGGTCACTTCACTTCTATTTCCTTCAGTCTCCTCAGCTGTAAAAGGGGATAATCATAGTACCAGCCTCCCAAGGCTGTTGTGAGGGTCAGCTAAAATAGTATTTGTAAAAAGAGTTAGCGCAGTGCCTGGAACACAGGAGGTGCTACATAAATGCAGCTTGGGTGTACACCATAGCAGCGCCACGCGTGAGCACCCTTTGTTCTTTCCCCCTAGCCCTCCAGTCCCTGCTCCTTGAGTCCTTGCTGATTTTCAGGGCGTGGCCTGGCTCTGTGTGAAGCCTCTTCTCATTCCCCAGGTCTCTGGCTCCTTCCTGGGGGCTTGGCAGATTCGCACTTGTGCTGTTGTACCTAGTGCTCCCTGCCCTGTCTTCCCAGTAGCTGACCAGATCCCGGAAAGCAGGGCCCAGAGGCCTGGCCATGGCCTCGTGGCACCTTCACGGGTGGAACGGTTAAAATTGTGCCGCTTTGTTTTGCAGCCATCCCTTCCAGGGCCAGTATTCGGTGTCGGACGTGAAGTTGAGATTCTCCCAGTGAGTATCGAGGTTAGGGGATGCTGGGGAAGCCCTGGGGTACCAGTGATGCTGGCTGGTTCCAGGGGGTGTAAATGCCCCGTGGAGGCAGCCTGCTCTCCAGTGCCCCTACCCGGGGGATGGGGTGAAAGCTTCTTTTGGAAAAGTAATGTTAGCTGGGGGTGAATGTTCCCACCAACACAGGGCCTGGAGGCAGCAGACCTGGTTGGAGTGTTGGGTCTGCCCTTTGCTAGTTCCCCAGCTGTGGGCGAGTCACAGCTTCCCAGAGCCTCATTTTCCACATCTCTAAAATGGGAAGAGTGACAGCTCTGCTCCCGGGAGGGGCCGTCGTGTGCCGTCCTCAGCCACGGCCACACAGTCTCCTGCTCGGTCTCTGCTGTGCGTGCACCGATGACATGAGGGGGCTGTAGCAGGTGGGTGGTGGCTTTTTGGGAGTGCCCAACAGCTGAAATTTCTCGTACCCAGCTCTGTCCAGAATAGCGAACGCGGCAAAAAGCTCGGAAACGCCATGGTCGTGACGAGCCGGAACGTTGTACAAACCGGAAAAGCCGTGGGTAAGGCACACCTCTAGTCTGGAGCCCTGGGCTCTAAAACTCATTTCCATGTGGCCAGACTGAGAGAGACAACCACCCACAAAGCTCATCCCCTGCAGGCGGGTCAGCAGACTGACAGAGAGGAGGACTGTCCCCAGAGCCTTCCCAGACTTGGCATGTTTTTAGTTTAGTTTCAGAGAAAGGGTGGCTGTTTGCTTTTACGAGTGAATGTCAGTGTGGTTCCCCAAATGTGCCCCTTTCCTGCTTCATCACTGACCCCGGGAGAGAGAGCTCTCAAGCCTCCTCTTCTCAGACAAGACGTTATCCATCCCCTGCCTTTGTGGATCGTGTGCCGGGGACAGTTCCACGCCCAACGTGCCCTGTCTCCAACCACCAGCTTTTCAGGAGCACGTTGTTTAAAGTAGGGACTGCCATTTGCAGCAGTGATTCCTGGGACATCCCATTTAGAATTAGCAGGTCAGGATAAGTTCATTACTCCAGCAGTGGAAATACCCTTGTCTCCCTAAGGCACCAAGTTAGTGGCCTGGACGACCCAGCATCAGTCATCACCTCACTCTTGGAGATGCTGATAAGGAAGGCCGGAAAGACAAGAACTCACGCAAATGCCCGCCCCGCTTTGTTCCCTCGCACCATGTCGTCTTCTCTGTACACCCCGGGAGCACATTGTGTCCAAGGCCAGCCACAGCTGGCATGTGGTGATGGGCTTGGATGGCTCATTAGGGACCTGCTTTCTGCTCAGAATTGGCCAAATCCAGTACATATTAAGAGCTGCTTCGTGCCGCAGACGTGGTGACAGTAATTATGTTTTGAATGCCTGATGGGATGCTTTGTGTCCTGTGGACATTCAGTACCTTGTTGAACTGTGGTAGATTCATAAAGCCTAGGAAGTAAGACCCTTAAAAGTCTTTTGCTAAGAAATTAATTAACCAGTTACTTGTCCATAATATGCCTATGAGATGTGGGTATCTTGAAATTAGAAATTATCCTGGTATTTTTTTTCATCATTATTATTGATATTAGTCATTTCTAGTCATTTAGCAGATAGGATCTTCACCTTCTTTTCTGGGGAATCTGAGAATTTGGATGGGGAAAAAATGCCTCATTTTTACTCATCTCTAAATGAAATCTTAAATTTCATTTCATATTGCCTTCAATTATTTGCAAACATTCTGAGAAGAGGTCCGTAGGTTTCACCAGACTACCTAAGGGACCCATTATACAGAAAGGTAAGAAGCCCTGATTTAACATAGGCCAGTAAATGCAAGTTCTTCCTTTCCTACTACTCACCTCCATCCATCTGAACTTCTGAAATTCAGGCAGCTGGTGAATGCTTTCTCCTGTAACAAAAGTAAGACTTTTTTCCCCTCCTTCCATTTTCCCCTTCCATATCCAGGCCAGTCCGTTGGTGGAGCTCTGTCCAGTGCAAAGACAGCCATGTCCTTGTGGCTGTCCACTTTGACCCAGTCAACCACACAAGGTCTCACAGACCCACCAGATGGGAAGCAGTGAGCGTGGTGGTCAGAGCCTGCTGGGAGACTGGATCTTTCTGCTGCCTTCAGGACACTGGGTCCACACGAAGGGGAACCAGCGAATGTTGTAAACGGTTGCTCTCTGTGTATTTTTAAAATATGTGAGAGTGTGAGTGAATGTAGCCTAATTCGGAAGCATAAAAGAATGACTGTTATGAGGTTGCTATCTAGAATGTGTGTCCAGATTGACTACTTTTATTTAAATCTGAGCCTTTCTAATGGGACCATGTGATGGTTTCGATTTTCTGATTTGTACATTTAGTTGTCTGTAGAAGTTTATGTAAATTATAGTTAGGTTTTATCTTTTGGATAGACAAATGCCTATTATAATTTGTTCATTAAAAGTAATATCATATATTGATTCCTCTCAGATTGGGCCCACAAATGTTATCTGGCCCTTGGCTTTGTAAGTTTTGAGCCCTTTGCTGTTGGATTTTGTTTTTCTTATTTTATTCTATTCTAAATTAATTTAAGCAGATGTATAGATTCATCCTTACATGACAAGGGTATAAATTTGTTATTGTTTTCCTGCTCTTAATTTCCCTTCCCCCAATTCAATTGCACCTGTTCATTTGCAACTCAAAGATGATGGTGGAAAAAGGTGAGGTTTTTAAAGTTAATCTTCTAATCCTTGAAAACTTGTTATATCACCGGTGTCCTTTCCAGGCTGGCCCTGCCTTCCTTCCTTTACCTAATTCAGTCCCAGAAACTAAGAAGGGCAGGGCTGCATTTGATTGGTTGGAAACCAGTATTTGCCCTGGGACATATTTTTCAAGATGGCTGCTGTTTGTGTCTTCCTGACCCTGGCCGTGTTAAAATCTTCTGTATACACGCATGGATATCTGAACTCAGTGCCTTCTGGGTTCTTCCTCTGCACATTTTGTCCTGTAGGTTTTTCCCCAGGATTTTTGTTCTCATACAGGTGCCTGGCCTTTCTCCCTTCCCAACTGAAAGTCATTCTTCTTTTCAGTTGTTTCCTCCTCAGTATATTTTTAGAAGAAGAGCAAAAAGCTCTGTGTAAAATAGGAGTGCCATTCCAGTGCAAATCTGAATGATATTGATGTTTAAGGAAAGAAAGCAAAGCCAGGGGATAGAAGGGAAGGTCCCTGGCCTCTCACTGCCTGGGCCTGCTGTCAGGTTTGTGCAGAGCTATATGAGATGCTGTACTTGCCCCTGAAAGCTCTGCTTTCCAACTAGCCAGTGGGGCTCTCTAGCAGAAAGGTTTTCAGGGACCAGGTCTAGTGGACGAGTCGCTTTCCTCATGTTGACATTTTCGTCAGACATTCCTCTTGTCTGTAGTACTACGCTAACGTGTCGTGAGATCATGCTTTCCCAGCCCTCTGTTGAAAAGTCATTGGATTTCTCAGTTCCTCAGCAGGAGACCATGTCTCAAGGAGGCCAGACTCATGCTGCCCTCTCAGACACGCGATAACTGCCCGTGTCCATGCTGGTCCTGTGCGGGCCACACCACTTCCTGGACACTCCATCAAGAGCAGGGGTGTTCTTCCTGCCAGTCACGTACTTGGTTACAGGGAGAGACTCCAGGTGTGAGGATGATGACTGACGAAGGGAATGGCAGCCTCCCAGCCTCCCTCTTATCTCCTCCTTGCTGCCCCCCTCCCCCAGTTTCACCGGTGGCAGTGTGTCTGCTGCCTGTCATCTCTCCTGTTAGGGAGCGGCCCATTTGGCCACGTTCTTTGCAAAAGCTTTCTTCCCCCAGGTCGATTGTGTGAAGAGAAAGCCATTCCAGTTCCCCAAGACGCTAGCTGAGTCTCTTAAAGTGTTTGCCCCAGAAGCCTTTTCCTGGCCAGGCCAGGTCCCATTGGGAGTTTCAGAAGTAGTCTACCACCACTCCTTAAGGGGGTAAGGATCGGAGAGCTGCAGCAGTTTTGTCCAAAGAACTGTCATTCGTTGGAAGACGTTGGAGTAGATGAACCAGACTTGCATTGAAGGACCCTCTCTTATCTGCAGTGACTCTGTGTGTGTGTATTTATGGGTATGAATCTTAGCTCTGCCATAGCATGACTTCTTGATTGGAATATGTACCTCAGAGGAGCTTTCCATTAGTATTTCAGTGAGGATAAGTTCAGGTCTTTTAAGAAAACACCATAATTCAATGGATTGAGCATGAGTCATGAACAGAGAAGGAGGTGCTGTGCCGAGTGGAGACAGCTTTGCTCTTGAATTCCTTGTTTCCTCAGCAGGCTTCCATGGACTTTAAGAGAGAAGAGTTTGAACATAGAGAAGAATAGAGCTCAGGATCTAGTTCCCAAGTGAAGAGCTTGCCTGCATCGTTTCCCCCCTGGTCTAGGAAGACTAAAAAGGCATTTTTCCTGTAGCTCTAAAGGTCTAGCAGGGAGCCAGCACAGGATCCGGTGGCTGGCTCAGGGCCCAGCCGGCAGGTGTATTGCCAGCACAGAACTCTCCCCTCACTCCCTGGCCATCTTTTTGACACTTTGACAGGAAAGTTGGGAGGTTTGAGGGCATGTGTTGAAGACCTGGCCAGAACTGCATAGAGATTGCAGACTTTGAGGAGAGCTCATGAAATAAGCCTTTGCCTCCCCATCCAACTGTTGAACATGGATGCTCACCCATTCTCCGTCTGCAGGCTGTCCAGATAAGTGATGCTGCTAGGACAGGTGATGGAGAAAACACTTGTCATTCCAAACCAAGCCCTAAGTAGCAAGTGTTTACGTTGACTGGCACACTAGTTGGGAGAGACCGTCCAGCTGAGTGCCACACCTTCAAAAGGAAGATATTTGATACTCAAATTAAGGCTGATTATAATTGTGTAGAATCCACAATTCCCCCAAAAAAAAATCCCATAAGCATCATGTGTGTGTCTGTATATTCAGTATAACTCTGTTCCCCCCAAGACCATCTAATGAGTGATGTGCCAGCCGCTCAGACTAACTCATATCCTCCTGCTTTAAAAAACCTTTTTAAAGCAATACCCATCCTGCCATGATGGGCTTTGAGGGTAGACTGAGCCCAGGATTCTGTATTTTCTCAAGGAAATCAGTGTTTATAACTATTCCCGTGATACTTATCTTGTGTGACTTCAAAGTGGGGGGCAGGGTTGGAGAACAAGGTTTATAGATGCCTGGGTCAGAGTCTACTGAGAACAGTATTTAATCCTCTAACAGAGTTCTTTTGGAGAGAAGTTGGGTGTTATCAGTGAATGATCTGAGTGTTTCAGGTTCAAATGAAGAGATGCTGTTCTCTAAGAGCAGATAGGAATTTGTCAGGGGCTGGTTTGTATTGGGCAGGGCTTGGAGCTTTGAGCCAGAGTTGCTTTTCTTCAGGTACCCTGCGTCATTGAGGCTGTTGAAGCTGGTAAACCAAGTACTTAATCATTGTTGAATTTGGGGGTGAAGCATACTGGCCCTGTATCTTTGGGGCTTTCTTGTCCCAGAGACTTGTAAGGGAGCTGGACTTTGTGGGGCTAATGTAGCATAGAATCTAGTGACTTCATTAGTGGGAAATTGCAGGGAGGAAAGGGGCAACAGTAGCCCTACCATCCCCCCACCCCTCCCTCACTTGGTGGTTTCTCTTCACCTGCTATTTGGCTCAATAGGGTTTGGGGCAGAGGCCTGCTTTTGGGGTGTCCTAACCGTTTGACCCACCACACTCTGACCTTCTACCCAGTTCTTTTGGGACAGACGCTTGAGTAGACCAGCCATGTCTACCAACAGACGTAGCCTCAAAATCTCATGCAAAGCATGATCCCAGCATCCAGCCAGTTACTGGAGGAATCCTTCTGTGTAGCATAATGTAGGAATGGGAGTTTTCTCATTCAAAATCTCCTGACATATGTGATCTGGAAAGGTTCTTTTCACAACATTCAACGTTCTGTAAATATTTCTTAAGGACAGTGAAGAGAAATAAAGATCTGGTCTTCTCAACAGGCCAGTAGTTGTGTTTTACAAGAGATTTACTGATAGCATCATGATGCAAAGTTTCTACCTCTGATCGCTCCAAAACAAGATAGTGTGCATGCCCAGAAACTGGTCTCTTTTCTGAAATTTCGATGAATTTGTATTTTGCAGTGCCACTTTCAAATTTGCTTTTTTCCTTATTGGTTAAAGATGGGAGACTATATTGAAATCATGTAAATGGGGCTTGGTTTACCTAGTTCTTTTCCACCTCTCGCTGTCCACTGACCTCTCACATGTATTGTGAGCTTCTCAGAATATTTTTTTACTGCAGGATAACCTTCATCCATTTCAGTATGGTGGTGGGGTGGCAGAATGTGATTTGAGTTTCTCAGAAGGCTTCTATGTTTGCAAGGCCATTTTATGTTGTTTTCTTGAAATGTTTCAATATTTTACAGCTGGACCAATCGTATTAAAAAATCAGACTGTCAATGTTTGGGACACCCTGATGGTTTGTGTCTAGATTCCAGAAGCATTTCATTACAGGGAAGATGAATTCTTTTAGTGGTCTTAAGATGACTTTAATATTGGAAACTAAAAACTCGACTCTGTCTCACCAAGGAAGTCAGATGTGAAGTGATCACAGAAGGGGTCCACGGGTGCGTGAGGCAGTCTCCCTTAAGTCATGAGCTTTATCATTTGAGCTGTGTGATTGTAAAAACACCTTCGGTCTGTAAATCATATTGTCCAATTGTGCTGAAGTGTAAAGCACTGTTCTTTCAAAAAGAAAAAAATGAGAATAAAATGTGCTGTTCCTGCCCTGCCTCCTCCATGGTTGACTTGTCTTTCCTCTCTCAGGCCAGAGCTACCTTGGCTTTCTTCAAGACAGCCCTGTTTCTAGGGATGAGCAGAGAAAATACATGAATGGGTAGCGGGAACTTTTCCTACATTGTCTGCTTTTGGCAAAGGGCTTGCTCATGTTTCCGTTACTTCTAGAAAAGCCTGACAAAAATGGGTAGCGGCCAGATGCAGCCTGTGTGGATGAAGGGAGGAGATTTTGAGAAGTGAGGCACAAAATGGGATGCGGGGTCCACTCTCCCCTCAGGACGCACCGTCTGCCCCCCCTTTCTGTGCTCAGCCCACACAATCTCATGCCCATTTTGTGACTATGAGGGCTCATCCTCTACATCCTTATCAGAGCTGCTGGCGGTGCGGTTTTTAATTCCATTTTGTGCTCTGCCCTTCCTTCTCTAACTGTGAATCGAGAAGCTCAGGGCCCTTCAGACTCCCGCTGAGCTGGGTGCCCCTTCCCCCGTTCTCCCCCAGCCAGACTCTGCCTCATTTGGAGGCACCAGGACGCTGGACTTTGGGAAGGGGAGTTCTCCACGATCCCCGCCCCCACCCCGATTTTCCAGCCAGCCTAGCAAGCTGCTGTTCTCACCCTCTGCCTGCCCTCCCCACCCTTTGTTAACTGGGCTGTAGTGCATGTTAAAAAGTAAGCATTTGTTCGGTTGTCCCATGTCCCCGAACTGCCCCTCCTTGTCCTGGCAGCCTCTGGGGCCTGACCTCAGCCATCTACCCCTCCTCCTATCTTTGAACTGAACCCCTGGGGGTGATGGGTTCCTTCCACCCCTTCCTGATTCTGGGGGGCAATGTTGATGGGTGGGCTGAGGGTTGGGCGCCTGGGGCCCCTTCTGGGATGGCAGGCTGAGGTGGGTGGGTGAGGGAAGGCTGCTCTTGGTAGGTTTGAGACTGTGTCTTGCTAGAAAGGAAAAGCCTGCGTGGGGGAGGGGAGGGAGGGAAGTGGTGCTTGCCGTAGGGATGAGCTCCAGGAGGCAGAAACCAGGGCCCTCCCGCTCAGTTGAGCCTCTCTTTTGAAAATCCCATTTGATTCACAGCCCGGACCACCCCCACCCCCCCCACCCCCATCCCCAGGAGCCTGCAGGAACCCAGGAGGGGGAAAGCATTCCAGGCAGAGGGGGATGGGGAGGGAATTCCCCTTCTGGAGGCACAGCCCGAGGACAAAAGGACCCCAGCCTCGGCGGGCTCCAGGCTCCAGGAGGGGGCCGGCAGCCACCCCCCCAGCCACAGGCTTTTGCATTGAAACACATAGTTCTTGTATGTTGGGGGGTTTTGTCCCCGGGGAGGGAGAGAGAGGAGGGTGAATGTTATTTTGCTTTCTTCTTTGTTTTGTTGAAGTTGGTGTTTCCAAAGAGCTGGTTCTTTACATTTCAAGCGCTTTACCAAGAATAAAAATTAGATTTCATCTATGAAAAAAAAGTCTCTTTTCTTCTATCCATGCCAGAGCTGCTGTGTGGGGAGGAGGCATTCTCACGTTCCCTCTCCAAACAAGCCCTGGGCCCATGAACTTGGGGTACACACACATACACACACACACACACACACACACACACACACACACACACAACTGGATTTCAATTTAATTGGTTTCCTTTGTAATTCTGTTTTTTATTTTATGCATTTGAAAACATTCCAAGAAGGAATGCATAGACTTCATGGGACTGCCCTGGGAGGTCCATGACAAAAGAAGGTTTAAGGAGTCCCAGTTGGAGAATGGGAATGCTAAATCCTACTTAAGATTCCCTCTAAAAAGCCCCTTTTACCTGTTCCCACCCACTTCTCCCCTGGCTCTGCCCAAAAGCTGACAATTTTGATTAACAGTTTGGATGGTCAAATGAAAGGTAGCGGATGTCAAGCTCTTTGTAAACTTTCCAGCGTTATATAAATGTTAGCCGTTATTAAGAGACAGGCAGCAGGAGGACTGGGGGGTTGCAAGCCCCTCTCCTCCCTGGCTGCCCTCCCTCCTCCACAGCTTAGCCTGGGACTCAAACCTTCCCCTGGCATTTGCTTTGGAGGAATGAATCTCACTGTTCCCGAGTGGGCCTCACCATCTTCAAACAATATAATACCAGCTAGCATTTATATAGTACTCTAAGGCTTACACAAGTGCTTTACAAATATTCTGTCATTTTGAGCCTCGCAACAACCCTGTGAGATGGGGGTTATTCTTAACCCTATTTTATAGACGAGGAAACTGAGGCAGAGAACAGTTACCTTATTTGCCAGGAGTCACTCAGCTAGTGTCTCTGGTCAGATTTGAACTTGGGGAGCTTCCATATTCCAGGTTCAACAATCTATCCACTGGGCCACCTAGTTGCCTCCACAGAGGGACTCCTGCCTTTTTATTGAGTAGGAAATTTAAAAAAATTCCCTTATGTTAGAAATAGGCTTAACACCAAAAATTTAGTATCAAGAAAATTTATTACAAAGAAAGTCCAGAGGATTTAGACGTTTCTGGCCAGGAGGGGTGGGCCCTGAGTGCACGGGCAAGTGTGCTTTTATGCAGTTGAATTGGGCTCGAAACCTCCCAGGCCGGGATTGGTCCCTCCCCTTTCCCAGGTTACACCTTTCCTTACATGTTTCCCCTTGACATGCTCAAGTATGTTCCCCCTCCCTTGGTCATACGTCCCAGGACTTGTTAATGAGGCTCTAATTTTATGCAGGGTGTGTCAGATAATAGTAATGAAGCTCATTAAGCAGGCGCACTAGCATTTTTCAGGTGGCCTCAGGTCGACCCTACCTGGTCTGAGCTGGCTCGATCCTTATCCTGATTTTGGGGTCTTTTTGGAACCATCCACTTACTTTTTATTGGCTAAGCCCGAGCCCACCTGCAGTGTACCACTTCCTGGAGCTGTTATTCTTTAAATCTCTGCATTATTCTACCTGTGGAAACATAAGCCCTTCTAATTCTAATACTTATGATAAAAACAAAAAAGAGTGAGGTTATAAAAATGTTCAATGCATTTGAGCAAGCCAGCTCATTTCCTAAGTGCCCCCAACATTTTTCCAACCTTGCAGCCAGCATACTACTCCTGTGCCTCACCCTGAACTGAAGGTAGCCCTGCGTTCTCAAAGGCCATGCCACCATGGAAAGAGTACCACTTTGTGGGGGAGGGGGCTTCCCAAGCTGGAAAGGCTTCTAGCCTGGGTTTCTTAACAGTCCTGTAGGTGACAAACTCAATGAGTTTGGGAAGGCTTGTCACCTTTGGTGATGCGATGGTAAGGGTGCCCACACTCTGGAACTCAATAGATCGTCAAAGTATGAAAGAGGCCATTAGCTTCGGATGTGGTGAAGAGAGAGCCACATCTGGAGTAGGGAAAACCTGAGTTCAAATTCATCCCCATACACATTGGCTTTGTAACCCAGGACAAGTCACTTAACCTGTCTGCCTCGGTTTCCCCACATGTGAAATGAGGATAATAATAGCACCTACCTCCCAGGGTTGTTGCCAGGATAAAATGTAGTAACATTTGTAAAGTGCTTTGTAGACCTTAAAATGTTCTGTAAATGCTAGTAACCAAAGAATGCACTTCTTTGGCCACCAAGATGTGGAAGGGAAGGTCACAATCAAACTGATGAAGCCACCTATCCTTGAAGGTACCTACAGGATGGGTGGCACTATTCAGCTGATGAAGGACTTCCAGGCTCAGGAAACCCTACCAGCAGAAGCACACATCTGTTGGAGAAAGACTGTTACAGAATCAGAGTCAGATAGGAACTAGGTTATCTATCCCAACTCACAACTGAAGCCATCCTGGCAACCCTGCAAAGTGGCCGCAGATGGGGTCTTCGCCACTCATTCACTCAGTCTCCTGCATCTGGCTTCTGTCTCCCCCATACTACAGAAACTCCTGCTTCCAAGGTTGCCAGTGATGATCAGATGATCAAATCCAAAGGCCTTTATTCACCACTTACACACTTTTAGCTTTTGAAAATATTGGATGCTCCTGACCACCACTGTCCCCATAATTATGCTTTTCCAACCCTTGTTCCCTTCTTACCTGCCTGTCTAATCCTTAGTCTCCTTTTCTGCTCAGTCTTTCTTCTCCTACCCCCAAGTCGGGGTATTACCTTCAAGGCTTTGCCCTCATAGAATCAAAGACTTAGAGTGAGAAGGCATCTCAGAGGTCATTGATTCCAAACGCCTTTATTTCGCAGTCAGAGAAACTTGGAATACCTTCCCTTCTCTCTCCACAGCCTCTTCTTTGGAGATCTTGTTCATGCCTTCGTTTCCATCATCACCTCTAGGCAGATGACTCCATGATCTATGTATAGAGCTACTCCTGATTTCTGCTGAGCTCACATCTTCCACTGTTATTTCCATCTAGCTGGTACCTCGAACTCAATGCTGCATGTCAGTCTTAATCAGTGAGCCAAGAACTTAATCGTGTCTATTAAATGAAGTTGAAGGACGCACATAAAGCTAGGTGGGACCACCAGTATGGGTGACAGAGTTACTCCATGCAGAGCGATGGACTGCATTTTCAATGAAATTAATTGAGACAAAAATGCAAAAACCCACATTCAAATTCAGTCTATTTTCAAGGACTGGATGGGGAAGGCAAAAAAGTCTAGGGGTTTGAGTGGATCAGAGCTTCAGGTCAGTCAACAGTGTGATCTTGGGCTGCACTATGATAGGTTAGCTCCAAGAATAGAGATGTTAGTTTCCCTCTGCTCTGGCCTGGTCAGAACATGGTGTGTGGCATTTCAGGAAGGACACTGGTGATCCAGAGAGCATCTAGGGTGCTCGTGAGGGGGGTGATATACAAGGAACTGAGGATGTTGTTTGGGGAGGAGGGGTATGACAGCGGTCCCCAAGGACACGAACAAGGGTCTAGACTTGTTTTGCTTGTCGGGACATTGTAACAGAAATACGACTGGGCCGGGAGCCAGGTGCGATCTGGGTAGTAGGTAGGGATGCCCAGTTGTGATACTGAACCTTTGCCCCTGCTGCTGGGAAGGAACCCAAAGACGAGAAAGAGGATCTTCTTCTCTTACAGGCCCTGGCCCTCTTAGAATGATCTTTGTTGCCAAACCTAAGGGCCTTTTCTCAGGCCTTACCCTTTCTACCTTCTCAGCAGCCTTTGAGGCTGGTGATCACTGTCTCTTCTCTGGGGTTTGTGACACTGCTCTCTCCTGGTCCACCTCCTACCTGTCCTGGCTCCTTTGCTGGATCTTCCACTAAGAGCGGGTGCTCCCTGAGCCTCCATCCTCAGCCCTCTCCTTTTCTTGCTCAACCCTACCTCAATTCATGATCTCATCTGCTTCTATAGGTTCCATTATGATCTATTCTCATATCTATTCATCCAACCCTAACTACTGTCCTGACCTCTGGTCTCACATCTGCAATTGCCTATTGAACATCTTGAACTGGAGGTCCACAGATGTCTTCAACTTTTCCCCACCCCCCATCCCCACCCAACTTCCCCATTCCTGTTACATCCGGTTCACAACCTCAATGTCATCCTCAGCTGACCAACCACCCAGTCCCCCAGACAACTTTGCCAAGCTTTTTTCTACCTCCCTCCTATCTATCTCTCACGCACATCCCTTTCTCTCTGCTCATACGGCCATGTGGATGAAGCCCTTATCACCTCACACCTGGACAACTGCAATGGCCTCCTGGTTGGTCTACCTGCCCCTCCAACCTAACCTTCATTCAGCTACTAGAGCAGAGGCAGGTCTGACCACGTCACACACACTCCATCCCTGCCCTTCACTCCAGTGATTCCCTAGTACTCTCAACGTCAACTATGCAGTTCTCTGGCTTTTGGAGCCCCTTCCTACCTTTCCTGTCATCGTGTGCTGCCCTCCACATACTAGATGACCCAGTGACACTGACCTCCCATTCAGTCTCTGGTCTCTGCCTAGAACACTCTCCTTCCTCACCTCTGGCTCCTGGCTTCCCTCCAGACGGCTCAAATACCACCTCTCCTGGTCATCCCTCCCCCCTCCTTCTTGTGCCTTGTGCCTTGATGTGTGTTTGTGTGTGTGTCTGCATACACACACACATTGTTTGCACGTTGTCTCCCCCACTAAAATGTCAATCCAGCCAACATTTACCATCTACTGTGTGCCAGGCACTTTGCGAAGTGCTGGGGACACCAAGAAAGGGGAAAACCAGTCCCTGGTCTCACGGAGCTCCCAGTCTAACGTGGGAGCCAACATACAGACATCAACCTCCACGAAAATGCTCTCTTCCATTCTCCCAATCCCCACGCTCCCAGATCACTTCACATGAAAACAACCTTCGAATGCACGATCAAAATACTTTTCTCCTCCATTCTCTTTTCATGCCCCATTTCCTTTTAATGAAATATATTCTCCCAGAGCCACATTTGAGTCATGGGTATCCTACCACCAGCGTCTTCACGACACTTGGATGCAGTCAGGCTAGCCTTGTGTTGGCACGAGTTTCTTTTGCTCAGTCCTACATCGTGCATTTGTATATAGACCTTAGAGATGTTCATTACTGGTTCTTCTCTTGGACTTTGTCCTCTTTGAAACTCTGGGTAGTAGCCTTCGAAACATCACTCCCTATTCAAAACTCTCCTTACTGCCTTTAAAATCAAATGTAAACATTGTCATTGAAAGGCCCTAACAACTTGGCCCCAGCCCACTTTTCTGGCTTTATTACAGGTCTCTCCTTCCCATATCCGGGCATGCAGCCAAAGGACCCTTTTTACTTACCCTTAAAGACGACACTGCTCTCCTATCTCTGTAGTGGTTCTCTAGGTCTAAACTTCACTCCCCTCTCACCCCAGTCTTAGGATCACCAATTCGAGGCTCTGTTCAAGCACCGTCTTGAATATGAACCTTTTCCTATATCCCTCTCTTACACACGTTTTCCTGTGAAAATGAAAATTCCTCAAGATCAGGGGCCTCTCTATTTTTGTCCCAGGACCCCCAGCACCTAGTAGATGATGTGTGATATCTCTGTGGTATGGACAGTGGTGTGCATGGACACATGGGTTTGGCTACTCCCCCTTGTTTCATTTTTAAAGCCCTTTTGGTTAGATTTGGAAGGTTCCAGGGGAGGATTTTATCAATTCTTATTAAGTATACTCCACTCTTTTATTTTAAACATTTTCCAGAAATCCAATTCCCTTCCTTGAGGTACCACCTTAACAAGCTATTGTCTCCTCCCAATCCTTTCATTTCAACAGGCAGAAGTAATGGAAATACCACCTGTGTCCTCAAGGTCCTCACTTTCTCACCTTCGGCAGAGCTTTTCCCAGGTTCCTCCTGGAGTGATCATTTGTGCCTGAATGACTCACCAGAATTTCGTTTCTGTGACCTTGTCCATAATTCACTTTAACAGCAACAGCAAAAATTAGAATTCATTAAAAATGAGTATGAGAATGGAAAGAGAGCCACAAGATAATACCAAGGAGATTCAAAGAGCCAATGACTATTCCCAAGTGCTCTTCTCCTTGCACTCCTCTCTATGGAGAGGGGCTTCTGAGGGTCTCATAAAAAAGCCCACAGTGACTGATGTACTGATGAGGTTAAATTGAATAATGACCATTTCTAGAAGGCAGTGATTTAAACTTTTCATTTTTTTTTCCAGTGTATTAAGTGAAACTACAAGATATAAGTACACATTCTTTAAAGTAGGTGAGATGTCACTGGTTTTCAAAACTGGAAGGCCATTTAGAATCATGAAGCTCAACTCCTTCATTTTACAGAGAAGGGACCTGAGGGCCAGAGAGGAAAAGTGACTTTCCTATGGTCACACAGCTAAGAAGTAGAGCTGGGTTTCAAATGAAGGCCCATTGGTTCTAAATCCTGGGTTCTTTCCTTTCTCAAAGTAGCCAACCAAATTTAGATCCACACCCAACAAATCACTCTAAAGCCTAATGAACTCCAGGAATTGCTGGGAAGGAGAGATGGGAGAGAGGGGGAGAGGGAGAGTGATAGATGGAGACAGAGACAGAGGGGGAGAGATCTTATCTGCATCATCACAGAACTATCCTTGAAAACAGGGGAACAGATGTTGCCCATTCTAGTGAATTTAGGATGTGGGTAAAAATCAACTTTGAGCACAGGCAAAACTTTGTTCGCTCAAGAAAAATGCCATGTTTAACCTTTGAAAGAAACGGCATTAAAGCCATTGGTCATTCCAGAGGATCTAGATGCAGAGAGATGACCTTTCCCACAGACTTCACCAACCTCAATGTTTCCTCAGACAAGAGAGTCCAACATGGTGGGCACCATGTGCAGTTCTTTAATTCCCACAGCATCCAAAGACCAACACGAAGTTCCCATGCTCTATTTTCTCCTGTAATATTTTCAATTAATGTTTTATTGTTGAAGCAGCTCACCTGAACCTTTCTGGGCCTCAGTTCTGTCCTCTGTAAGAAGAGCAGGTTGTATTAGTTCTCACAGGTAGACCCCAGCTCTAAAACCCAATCAATCTGTGGCCATTAACTGGTGGAATCACCCCAGTTGAGAGGTCAGCAGCTGTTCCTTCCTCCCCCCAGCCACGAGTGCACGGCGCGCGCACACACACACGCACACACGCGCACGTGCATGCACATGCACACACGCGCACGCGCGCACACACACACACACACACACACACACACACACATGAAGAGTCAACATTTTTGAGGTACAATTTCTTTAATAAATTAATGCCAGTCAAAATACAGTGCCGAACAGGATGCAGCTCAACATGCTGGTAACGTTGGTCATGAAGCACCTGTGCTTCTGGGAGAGTGGGGGGAGTCCCGCCTCTTCTAGTGGTTCCTGGGATCAGGTCCAGAGCGGCCCCTGGCGTCTGCCCTGCTGCCCACCTCATGCAGAGGATTCCTGAATGCTTCATCCCCGAAAACCTGACCGTGATCCCACCCCCCGACCCCAAAAGAAAAAAAAAACACAACCTGATAGCTAAAGGGTTATCCGTACACAATCACTCCACAGTAATGCTTCTTATTCAATTAACCAAAATTAAAAGACCTGGTTAACCCACACTAAATCTTGGTTTTACATTGGAAAAATACCTCGGCGGCAGCAGCAGGAAGTCATATATGCATGAGCCAATGTTCCTGTAACACAGGACGTGGAGGCACTGACTGATTCAAACCCCATCCAGACCCGCAATTTCTCCCGCAAGCCCAGCAAGCTGTTCATCCACCCACTGCTCGGAAGACCTGTCCTCCAAAGACCCAGCTGGGAGTGGTCCAGCTGACTGGTCCTGCAGTCAGGGGCTGCGCGCCCTGTGGAACGCCCATCAAACACAAGGCGAAGCTCTCTTGGGACTAGACTGGGAGAGAGGGGTGGGAGCTCACCTCGGAGACCCCCCCACACAAAACGCTTTTCCAGCCCTTCCACAGAGAAGCACGGGAATCATGAACATACATAAAAAGGGTCTCACAAGGACTTGGGATGAGACACACAAGGCACACCCAACCACCTTTATGAAGCAAACCTGACCCACGTGGTAAGGTCACAGGGCTAAAAATAAGATACTCCAGATGCTCAGGCTCTTGTGATACATATAAGAGTTTCTCAATTATCGGATAAACTATTTCAGATTATGGTAGTCTATCTCTCCATAAGACTCACTGATACATGTATTATACTGCTGCAAATATTGAGTAGGGCATAAAAATACAATCGATGAAAGACAGGACTGAACGTTCCCATTTCTGGTCCTCCTCTCACAAAGCTCTCTAAAGGTGACTCCAGAGCACGGGCGGCTGTGCACGTCCTCAGCCCCACCCCTATACAGGGGGCAAGGCAACCATGTCCCTGTCCAGCTCAAAGTCATCGGCTCCGTCAGGAGAAAAAAGACACGTCGGTGGTTTCCACGGAGATTCTTCGAGGCAAGATGGATACAGCTTCCCCACGGCGCATCGGAAATCTCTCCCCAAGTCCCAGAGCACGCGCTCGGATATGTGCTGCCGCAGAGACCAGCGGTCGAGCTCCACATCGTACTGGTAGGTGGCGTACTTTGCCCGCTCGTTTAAGTGGGTTTCTCGCATAAAAACGCACAGAGAATTCGAGATCACCACGGCTCTCACACAAGGGTCAGAGTAGCGCTTGGCAGGGATATTGGCCGCCATCCTCCATTCATTCTTGTTTACGTCGTACACTTCCACGGTGACCGAAGACCCGTCGACGGTGCTGGTCGGCAGCCTCAAGCCAGAGCTGCTGGCGATGTGGAGGCCTCCAATGTAGAAGATCTGATCGCCAAAAGCTGCCGCAGAAGCGAAGGATCTGCTCGTCTGCCTCATGGCCATCTCCACCCAGGAATCTGACCTTGGAAAGTAGCAGTACATGAGATTCAGTGTCATCACATAAATGCAATCATGGACCACGACCGCCGCGCTCCACTGCCAGGCACAAGGCAATGGGCTCACCAGGGTCCACTCGTCCTTCTCAGTGTCATACCTTTCCACAGTCCTCCGGTTGAGCTCCCCCCCGACACTATCTCCTCCAATCGCATAGATGTAGCCTTCACAGCAAACCAGAGAGGGCTTGATGCGGACGAGGAGCATTGGGGTCTTTGGGAACCAAGTGTTCTGCTGTGCATCAAACCAGTAAAAGCAATTCACTGTTCTGAAGGCCGCCTGCAGTTTGCTTGTTTTGCTGTAATTCATTTTTGTGTTTTTCAGAGGAACTTGCCCCCCTGCTATGTAGATGTCATTATCGGGAGTTACAAGGGTTCCGACCTTATGCAAGTCAGCAGGTGGACTACAAATCTTGTAAACTTTTTCTGCTTGGGGCTGTAACAGACAGATGAGTAAAGACTGCCGGGGTTTTCAGAAGCAGCCTCGATGAAAATCATCATTTCCTCTTTAGTCATGCCAAGTCTCGGCTTAAAAAACTTGGGCATAGACTTATAGAGACCCTGAACCACGACAGATTTATCGTTGGGTGGGAGACCTTGAAACCAGGCTCTTTGCGTTACTTCTGAAAGGGCGTCTATTCTGATTTGGCTGAGAACCGAGGACAGATACTGTGACCGGGATTCTGGGTTGTACTCCAGCCACAACATGGCGGCTTCTCGGACTGTCTCCTCCTTCTCCACATTCAAGTTGTCACTACTTAGGATGTCTATGAGCAGGTCATGAGACAGCTGCATGAACGCGTCCTGGTGATACACAGCGGTGAACTTGTGTTCCACCATCCGCTTGGCACTTTGCTTCAACTCCTCACAGCTGAAGAGATCCGCAAAACTCAATAAGCGAACACAGTTCTCTGCATTTATTTTTTTAATTAAGTATTCTCGACATCGCTGTAACACATCTTCTACCTAAAATTTAAAAGAAGGCCAGTGAGAGCAGAACAGACTCATTTGTTTTTTTCACAAGAGATGAACAGCATCAGATACTCTACATACATTATCAGAGTGTTCCTACCTTCAGGGACCATAAACAAAGCATAATTCAGAAGCCAAGCTCATGGTCAAAGGAAGCTTGTGTTTACACTCAGTTTCCCACCCAAGGACCAAAGTGCCCTACTTGTGTGCTCTCAACCCATTATCAAATAAATAAATGAATGAACAGTTAGAGAGATAAATAAATTGAAATCTAGATAGAGAGATAAATAAACTGAAATCTGAAGAAGAAAAAAAACATACACAAATATACAAAAGTATCATTTATACTATGCTTGGACCCTCTCACAAGGGGAAGTATTATAAACAAACCATTAGGTTTGAAAAAAACCTTTAACAATTAATCCAGGGGTTCTTATCCTGGGGTCTGTGAACTTGGGTTTTTTTTTTATATATTTTTATAATATTTCTATAAAATTGGTTTCCTATGTATTTTATTTTATGCATTTAAAAGCACTATTTCAAAAAGGGGTCCACAGGCTTTCCCCAGACTGCTGCACACAGCCCAGGACACAAAAAGGGGAAGAAGCTGTAGTTCAGGGCTTCCCAGAGGCTCTCAGAAGTCACTGAGTCTATGCCCCTAATTTGTAATCATTTATACCTGGGACATTCCTGAAATGGAGTCTTCCCTACTTAGGGCAAATCACCTCAACAATCATTTGTTAAGAATCTCTTATGCGTCAGGCACAGTGCTGAGCATGGGACCAGTTGGACTGGATCACAGACCTTCAGGTTTTAGAGAATGAGTGGGGGTCACACCTCACTCAATTCATAGAGGAGGAAATCAAGACACAAGAACAGCGTCCTCCCCAAGATCACAGAGTAGGGAACGGTAGAACCAATGCTCTTTCAACTATTTATACACCAAGCTGATTTATTAATTATTAGTATAGAGGGAATTATAACAAATAGCCCTGTTAACACTTTCTAGTTACAGGAATGACAAATTATTACTAAAAGTAACAATAACCAAGTCTATAAGCAATTACAAATTATGAACATTTAAATCTCTAATTTTCACTAGCTGACACTTGGTATCCTGGGGATAGTTTGTTTACTCCCATAAAGGAAGGAGGTACACACCTCAGTTTAAGCTGCTAAGACAGTTACTAACTGTTGCATTCATTCATCTGGTGGTCTTTTAAGTGGCTAGTTAGAAAGAGAATCACAGCCACAAAGTTCTTGTTCTAAGACTGGCTGGGTGACCTTCCCCAAGTAGGGATGGCTCCAATTTCAGGCATCCTCCCCTGGGCACCTTCCCATGAGACACACCCTTGAAGCATCTGTCACTATGCCAGAGTAAGTTTATTAAAGAACCAACATAAAATTACTGACTGGCAAAGTTAATTGGAGTCTAGATGTCCTAAAATGCTCTTCCTTTCTTCAGCAATTTTGGAAAAAGTGTTTAGTGGGGAGTCTGCAGGGTTCTTGCCAAGAGATAATTTACCAATAATTGAAAAGCATTATTTACAGTTAGTATTCTCTTTTTGGGGAGGAGGGAGGCAAAGTTTCAGGTCTGGGTTCAAAAAACTTAAGATTCCAAAGGAAGCCGATACAAACAGCTGGGGCCCCGTGTCAGCTCATCTTCCAGTAGACGGGGGTACGCTGGCACACTTCCTACATCCCCTCCCCTCGCCACCCTCTTTGGGGAGGGAAAGGAGCACAGAAATGAATACTGCCTCTTCCCTACCTGACCCTTAGCAGTGACAAGTCAACCTCTCCTGAAATCTAACCTATCTGCCCTGGCAAGGATGACGGATTCCAGAGAAAATCTTCTCCTTCATCTTCCCAAATGTTCACTGGGTAAAATGAGAGAAAACACATGATAATAAATAAATAATCACAGATAAAGACATTAAAAAAGTTTTACTCTGGTTCAAAGATGCCTTGGCCATGTACCCTTCAGTCAAATGGCCTTCAGCGTACCAGAGGAAGATTCACAGAGTTCATCCATTACTCCAAGAGCTTGTCAAATGAAAAAGAAAGGCTGACATCTCTCCTCCCACCTTTGCAGCGGCTGAGGACATGCAACCCGGCAGATATTCCCAAACTATTCTGATACGCTGGCGCATTCTGCTAGATGTTCCCCCACCCCTTTCGTTTGTTGTAAGGGATTGCTCTTAGGATCACTGGAAATGTGAGTGATCTAAAAACAAAAGCCAGCTATAAAAATTCATTCAAATAAAGTAACGCCAATAGAAATTAGGACACTGAGTTTCTTTCCAACGCTCTTGAACCAAAAGCATGTGAAGTACATGAATGCAGTAAACAAAAGCAAAAAGCTTCATGTGAAATCACACATCTCAGAGAAATGGAAATCTCACGTGACGTGTAATTTCCATTAAGCTTGTAGGCAACGTGCCCAGGTCAGTTTCTGTAGTAAGACTGAAAGAAGATCTTATAGTTCAAAACAATGGGAAGCAAACTACAAGTTCTTTCCTTCTTTTGTTCAAAAGGAGATGAGAGGGAATAAGAGTCACCTCTTTTATGTTATAAAACGCATCTTCCGACATTTTAAAATACAGCAGTATGGGAAATCACCACGAATGCTTCCGTATCTCGCCAGGAAGCTATCACAACTCCAGCAGAACAACAGAGAAGGGAGTGCCCTGGATCGATGAACACCCACCTGCAGGAAGCAAGCTGTCTCGTAGAGCTGTTCCACAGTGCTGTCAGTTATCGCCAAATTCCCCGTGTATGCGTAAGCTATGATGAGCTGTAAAGTAGCCGAGTCAACATTCCTCAGGTTCACATGCGTCTGTTTACTTTCGCTGAGTCCAATCATGAACATGGCCCTAGGGGGGAACCCACAAGTCTTAATTTAGTCTAAATATAAGAGCAAAAAAGAGTAAAACTTAATGAAGACAACCGTTACCCAGAGCTTGAAATTCACAAGCCAAGAAAAACTGTACCAAAAGTTTAGAAATGATGCCTAAATTCATAAATACCATAAATGAGAATTAAACTAGATCAAAGGCAAATGACTAATTCAAATCACTAGAGATTCCGAGGAAGTCCAAAGGAATTTAGTTCTCTGCCAAGATGGCCAGTCCACCCCACCCCTCCATTCTCCCTGTCAACAGCTAGCTTAACGTCCTCAGTATTGCATTTGTCCAACCCCTATCATGTCCAATGCCAACACTGTGGAAGATGCAAACAAATGGGGTCCCCCTGTTCACCTTCAAAGTGACGAACACTCAGTTGCAGAGATGCCATTCACACACGTGCCAAACACCAAAGTACCCAAGGCCACACACTGAAAACTGCCAGTGGGAGAGACCGATTTCTTTCCGGCTCTCCAGACGGGCTTTGGAGCCTCCTCACAAGACTGTCGGGACGAAGAATGTCTTGGGCAAGAAACAAGCAAAAGTCCTCCAATGCCTCAGTGCAGTCATATAAGAACCGGCATTACAATCAAAGATGACTCAAAGAGGCCGAGACCTTGGAAAAGCACCACGCCGGGCTGAGTTGATGAAGACCAGTCAATTCAAGATGCTGAGATGCAGACAAACATGCTTGGGACGGAAGCTGGTCTTTCTCCCATTGTGTTTCTGTGTGGTGCCTGACTACGCTCAGTAATAGTGAGTGACTGTTTGTAAAGTGGTACCAGTAGTTCAGAAGGATGGCCAGAGAAGGCTCCCTATAAAAAGAGATAAGCCTCGAGCTAGGCTCTGGATGGATGGATGGATGGATGGATGGATGGATGGATGGATGGATAAGTACTTATTAAGTGCTTCCTGTGTGCTAAGCACTAGGGATAGTAGGAGGAAAGGGTTCTTAAGGAGCTTATGCTCTAACAGGAAGAAAGAACACACACATACATGAAAGAGGTTTCAGCTGCAGGCCAGATGACAGAAAGGCCCCCACTTTTCAGGGGGCTGCAGCAAATGTAGCATCTTCTTCTACGTCATTTCCACCAATAGAACCTTATCTGTCTCTGATGCCGAGCCATTTCACAGCACTAAGAACATTTCTTTTCCAAACCTGCAGCTGCAGAGGAGACAGGGGCTGTAGTGCCCACAGGGTTTTCAGGTCCCATTTCCATCAAGGTGGCTTCCCTTGCTGGTGGCTACAGAGGCCAAGTGGTCTGAGGGATACTGATCTACTACCTAGGGCTCTTGGGACTGTGTCCGTGGTAGCTGGAGGGGATGCAGTGGTTGAAATGGCGGCGGTTTGACATGCTCGGCACCTGCTGCCCCTCCCCCACCCCATCTCTGCTTCAGCTGGTGGAGGAACAGTGGGAGCTGTAATTAGATAAGAGATATGGACAAGCTATGTTCAAGGACAGCAAGTAAACCAACTTGGCTAGTGGGAGAGAAGGTTGAAAAAGCAAACGGGGGCCACAGCAAAGAGAAACTTGGAGGACAGACAAAAGCACTTCTGCCTCATCTGGATGAGAATGAAGCTGTAGCTTTGTAGCAGCAAAGAACTCCAACACAAAAGAGAGGCCCATGTGCTAGACATAAACAAGCTGTGATACATGACTGTCATGAATGAAATACCACTGTGCTATGAGCAACGAGGACTATGATGAATTCAGCGTGGGAAACTGATGTGGACTGACACAAAATGAAGTAAGCCAACCACGGAAGCCATATACATCATGACCACCAAAATGGGAGGGAAGGAACGAACAATAAAAACTGAACGCTAGGAAACAGAGAGGAAAAGATGCCCCACCCGAATACTCTGCCAAGGTAGGAGCGCTGGGGCCAAGACGGCAGGGACACATAGTTCTGTCTTTTATTCTTTGTTATAAGATATGGTTCTCTGAGAAAGGAAAACATTGGAACATGCAGATGATATAAAAACAAAAAGCAACAATACATTGTAGTTAAAAAATAAAACTGAGCAACATTCACGAGGAGGAGGTCAGCATACAAACTATGGACACTCAAGTATGATGCATGAAGGCCTGGGCTAAGGTGGTAGCAACGAGTCTAGAACACAGGACCTGAGGGTCAAGAGATCTAAATTCAGGGGCACATTCTGATGTTTATTAGCTATGTGATCTTAGGCAACTCATTTACCATGACGAGACCTGTTTCCCCACCTGTAAAATGAGGACAGAAATTCTTCAACATGGCCTCGCTCCCAGGGTAACTAGCTGTAAGCAAAGCTCATTCCCAACTGTACAGCTCCACATTCATGCGGGCTAACACAGGGGGGAGGGGAAGGGAAGCAAGTGGGTAAGAAGGAAGAATTCAGGTTTCAGAAACGGGTACCTGGGACCTTGGTAACACCACTGAGATAAAGAGGAGAGTTAAGAAGCCAGTCTTGAAGCAAACAGGAGTTCAATTTCAGACAGTGAGCTGAAAGCAAGGCCCAGGCACCAAGTGGAAATGTCTACAACATTATTTATTGGAACTCAAGAATTAAGATCCAAGTTGGATTTGGAAATCATCTACTCTGAAGTAGTAACAATGGAGAAAGCAGCTAACAGGATGTGGAGAGAGAACAATGCCATGGGTAGAGTACTATCCCTCAGATCAGAAAGACAGACATTCACCTCCTTCCAAGCCACTCAAGGATTCTCTACTCATGGAAGGGTGAAATGGAATAGGGGCTGATGAAAAGAGTCTCCACACTGATATAATCCTGGACCCCCTTCATGTACCTGAAGGAATAAAAAACCAAGACTAAGGACCCAAGCCTAACTTCTAGAGAATGCTCCAAGGAAGGAAGGAAGGAAGAGAGGGAGGGAGATTAACAAAGTACTAAAAAACTGGCTGAAGAGAGAAGAGAAATGAGATAGGGAAACTAAATTTCAAAGAGAATACCCTGCTCACCATCACCAGGATTCAAAACCAGGCTTCTCCAGACCCCACTGTTGGCTATGTTGCACCTGTAAGTTCACGTGGGAATGACACAGCCAGAAGAAACCTAGGCATCGTTTATATCTCTTCTGCTAGACCAGGGTAATGACTTTGGAAGAGCAAACAGAATATGGGAAGTTAAAAACTGGCTAGGAAGATGGCTTTCTGAACCACAACTGTTCACAAGAGCAGTGGTGTGTTTTGCAAGGGATGGAGCGCACTCCATTCTTGGGAAGAAATTTGGCAGGAGATTTAACCAACCTGATCCAGCAGATTTACAAATTAAATTTAGGAAAAAGAGTGAAAAATGCCTTGGTAAAGCCAGAATCTGGGTAAAAGAGGACAAAGAAGGTCCTTTTCAGTTCTGAGCCCTAAGCATAATATAGGACATGTCATGGGAGAGAACAACCATTAAGCGATTGGTGAAAACAAAAGAGTGTTGTGGACTATACTGGTGGTTGCAGGTGTCTCTATCATGATGCATACAATATGAGAGATAAACAGATGCCAAGCCACCACCGAGAAGCATTCAGTCTTCAAAAGCATCACTAATTCTTGGGGGGGATAGGCCTCTCATCACAACTCACACAGAGATAGTACTTTTAAGGTTTAGAAAGTGTTTTCTTCTCAACAGGCCTCTAACATAAACAACTAAATGCCTTCATAAGAGTCAAAGAACTAGGGTCAAGAGCTGGGAATCCCAACAAGACTTCTTGGGCCTTGGACCAGCGCTCGTCTCTCATACCTTGAACAAGAGTAGGACAGCAGAATGGCACTGTTATGAGAAGAAAGTATGCCTCCATTTCCTCATCCGTACAATGGGGATAATAATAATATCTACCTTTCAGTGTTGTTGAGGATCAAATTAATCAAATAATAATTGTGGAGCATTTAACACAGTGCCCTGCGTATAGTGAATACTATATAAGTGTTAGATGCTGTCATTACCCCAGGTTTACCAGACTCATAGCATGTGTAACACCAATTTAGAAAGCACCTCAATTTCAGCAAAGAAGTTAGCAATCTTTCATGATATCCTTGCAGACCACATGTGGAAATGTAGCCTGGACAACAGCAGAGCTAAGTGGAGCCATATCTAAGTGTATAGCCAAACCCAAAGTACTGAGATCAATTTCAGCTGATAGAAAGGCACTAATGTACCCCTGATATCTGTTCTACTGAGTATTTTATCAATAATCTGAAGATACGGAAGGCATGGTTATCAAATGACACAAAGCTTAGAGGAAAAAGTAATGTAATGGACGGCAGAACCAACATTAAAATGGCCCTAATCAACCAGAACAATGAGCCTAAACCATGAAAATGAAATTTAACAGCAACAAACCATCAACTGAATTTAGGGGTGAAAAAACTAAACTGCACCAACCCGGGAAGGAAAAGGTCTGCCTCAATAATCCTTCATGTGAAAAAGACCTGAAGGAGTGTGTTGAGCTAATCAGTGCCCCGTTGCTATGGAAACAGCTACCCATGCCCCGTTGCTATGGAAACAATCAGCACGCTCGCCGACCTAAGCCCATCAGGAGCGGGTACCAAGTGACAGGCCTCGAGCAGCCCAGCCCCCGCCAAGCCGGGCTGGGCTCTGGACTCTGATCTCAATTCCAGGTCCAGAAATCAATCAGTCCAGAGCCTCAGAGGGTTTTAAATGGGTGTAGCTTTATTAATTTTTCAGTAAGTTAGCCAACTGAAAATCTAACTCTGAAGGCAATGACAGGAAGAGTACCAAAAGCATTACAATTTTACCTTCAGCAAGGAATCTGGTCAAGAGAAAACATGATAAAGTAGACCATGATAAATAACAGTAGGAAATGAGGAAAAAACCCAAACTGACTGTTTTCTCCTCCTCAGTAAAAATGCTGCTCCTGTAAACATCAATAATGATTCTAGAAATACCACGTAAAATTTAAGCTTTTGCAAATTTTAAATTTATGAATGGAGGGTCTTTTCAAATGGATTGCTTTAAAAGATCAAAAGAAAATAAAGGGATGACTTCTCTGTTAGCTGGAAACCTCTGTCAAAACACAAAATATTTCAAGGATCCAACATTGTAGCAGGGTGTTTTCCTCTACCATCACAGATCCCATGGCCCCTCCATGCCTTGGTGGCAGGTTTTTGCAAACTGTTCTGGGCCCAAAGCCTCCATTATTTTGTAACCAATTTCTGATAAAGCCCCAGCAAATCCAGGTTGCTCCATGACTCTCAATCAGACAATCTACAGTGGAGTAAACTTACTCAAAACCATTCCAGCTGGGTGGGGCCTCTCCAAGATGGCTCTGTTGACCACTTTAGAAAACTCAGTCATGGCCACACACAGTGAGGTAGGCCTTTTTAAGTAGAGCTAGTCAGAATAACGTATATTTAAAACGTCCACTTTAAAGTCCCACTGTCCCCAGCTCTCCTCCATCATTTTTCTTTCTTCTAATCTTTCATCAGTTCCTGAAGTACAAGAAGATGACACCAGCAAGCATAAGGGCATCGCTATAGAAACAGAGCAGCAAAGCGGTCCGAGGGCTGGCCGTGGGGGTTCAAGAAACTCTGGCTTCAAGGACCGCCACTGAGGCACGCTGGCTTCGGGAGCCTCAGCGAGCCTTTACTTCCCAGGCCACTCGCTGGGGCTCTACGTGTCCCCCAATGGGCACCAGTGGAAGGAGTTTCTGAAGTTTAGCCCACTGATATAACTGGAGGTCTGCATATAATCATCACCACTTGCATAAAGAACTGAACAACACGGGACGGGACACCTTTGAAAATGGGCTCTGAGGGACCAATATTAAAACAAAGAAATCCAGTGTATACACAGAGAGCTGAACAGATAAAATACCTACCTGAAATAAGAGCTACACGTTGCAAGAACCATCTTATGACAAGGGAACTCGGTGCCCTCAACAATTAACACTATATCAGTTAGCAGCTGCTGTTCATAGAACAGTTTTAACTGTTCCAACAAGGAAACGGCATATTCCGTATTGATCTGCCTCTCGTCCTGAGTGGACATGACTGTATTCCATTAATATCTCTAGGACCCGATTAAGGCGGCTGCAGTCTTTCTGATGGGAAGATCAGGTGAATGCCTCAGTCAAAAGAGAAAGAACTCTAAGTGAGGTTATTTGTAGCACGCAGAACCTGAGACACTCAGATTCACTAGTTAATATTTTGTTGCAGATTTAGAACAACTCCTCAATCATTCCACGTTAAGTATGCACCAAACTCTTCTTCAGAGGACTCCAAGATAGTCTGTAGATATGGTGTTCAGATTTGCAATAATGCTGCATAGAAGTGAGAGAAAGTAAGAGAGGAGGTAGATTTCGTGGCAGCATCCTGGGATCCACTTCAGTAACTAAAAAGAAAAAAACTGAATTGAGTAGGGAATCTAGTCCAATACATTTTTAGAAAGCAATGCCTCAAATGACATCTAGATGTAAGTTGTATTTATGTGAAGTGCAATTTTAGACACTACCATAAAAAGAAATGAGATATTCTAAAATGCTATTAAAATCTGAGTAGAAACACACCCTTAATTTAGAAATAAGAGACAGAAGGACAACTTTGATGTCTGATTTCCCATTCCAAAAGCAAACATGCCAGAAAGACAGTAACGAGATGCAAATGCTTGTTAATTCTTATTTTGGAGTTATCTTTATGAATATAGAACGTGAGTAAAAAGTCCAGCAAAGCAAAGCAGGCTTTCTAGGCATTTGGAATGAAGTTGCTTTAAGGAAAACCCATTTTCTTAGAGGTTATTCTTGACAATACAGTCATCTAATGAATTCAAGCAACATGTTACATTAAATTTCATTATCTCCCATGTTCACCATTTATAGTGTACCCCCACCTCCCTTCTGAGGGCTTTTTTTTTACTTACCTCATCCAGAGTATGCACAACATGTTCACAAACCCTATATTCCACCCAAATTGTTCTCCTTGGGTTCCTCTGCACCCCATCCCTCACCTCTATGTCTTTGTACAAGATCTGCCCAGGACCTGGAAGGGCCTCCCACTTTATGCAGACCACCTCCTATGGGGATCTTTCCTGATGCTCCCAGCTGAGAGAGCTCACTTATCTCGAGGAAGGTACTGGCTCCCTTCACTGCCTCTGTCCACACCTGAAGAAACTCATATAGTGCCTGAAACAGCAGGTTCTTATCAAATGCTCTGTCATTTTGTCTGTCCACCTTGTATCTCACCAGTAGAATTCAAATCAATACACGTATTTACTAAATGTCTATGAGGTGCCGGGCCCTGGAAATACAAAACCCAAACCAGAACTATCCCTGCCCTCAAGGAGCTTACCTTCTACTGGGAAGAAACAACATGTATGCAGGGAACTAAATGCAAAATAAATTCATCATCCTATCAGGAATGTGGGAAGAGAACAACTCAGGGAATGAGGAAAGGCCTCTGGCAGGGGGTCATAGCTGAGCTGAACCTCGAAGGAAGCTGAAAGATGTGAAAAGGAAGAAGAGGGCGTAAGCTCTCCTCCAGCAAAGATGGCTTGGCTTTCTACCCCCACTGCCTTGTACATGGCATAGGGGGCTTAATGAAGGTCTGCTGGATCATATCAGGCCAATCTGATGCAATGACTTATTTTGACCAGATGAACTAGTGACAGTGGAGAGCACTTACTCAGGACTAGAGGCCGAGTTCAGATCCTGCCTCTGCAGCTCACTGCCTGCTGACTTTGGGTAAGGCTCTTCATCTCTCTGGGGGCCTCAGTTTCCTCATCTATACAATAAGAAAGTTGGCCTCTTGAGTCCCTCCCAGCTCTAATGATATTATGAGAATAGTAATGATGATGATAATAATAAGAGCTAACATTTCTATAACACCTACTGTGTGCCAGGCACTGTGCTAATTGATTTTTACAATTATTATCTCCTTTGATCCTCACAACAACCCTGGGAGACAAGTTCTATTATTATCCCCATTTGACAGCTGAGAAAACAAAAATAAACAGATTAAGAGATTTACCCAGTGTCACACAGTTAGTAAGTATCTGAGCTCACATCTGAACTCAGATCTTTTTGACTCCAGGCCCACTGCTCTATTCAATGCACCACCAATGACCCTTTTTCTAGATTTCACAACAATAACCAGAGTGTATATACAAGATGCTTCTCTTCTGGGGGTGAAAGATCCTAGAACTCAGAGTCAAGGAGAGACACAGGAGAGCCCCCCTTCTCCTAAGCCCAGCCAATTTTATCAGCCATTGGGAGAGTCCTTGAAGCAGCTCTGTGAGTAGTGCCAAGAGATGGGGTGCAATGGGGTCCCCAACCAGGCTAAGTCACAGGGTCCAGCTAAGCCCATCGCCCAAGGCCTACTGGCCGCTGTAGAGGTGTCCTAGAAGCATGGGCACCAAGGAGAATCTTTGACAAAAACGAGTCACATATGAGAAGGTCTGTCACAGCCAAATACAAAAACACAGACTAAGTGGCCCTAGCGAGAGGAAACTACCAACAAATCAATTAGGGGACTATTAATAAGTCGACTGGCTACAACCTCCTTTGAATCAAGGCCTTTCTACTTCATTACAATGATTAGCACCTGTATTCCAATTTCCACCATCTTAAAATTTCTTAGTCAACATTTTCACATATCATTCCTTGGAAATAAGGATCAAATTATTGCAAAAATGTTGCAAATTATTAAAAAACCAAGAACCAAAAGCACAATGGAAGAGGCCTGAGAAGGAGGTGAGAGACGTGGCTCCTGGTCCTGTTTGCCTACTGCCCTGAGTGATGCTGGGCAAGCCCACTGCTGCCTCACCAACCTGATAACTCGGGAAGAGCCTTGTGTTTCTAAGAGCTATATAGCCCAAGAGTTCATAACTTCACATACTCTTCTTTTGTAGTGAATACATATGCTTCTCTTCCACTTTAATGTGGGTGCATACATATCTGAGATCAGTATTTTATTAGAGGAAATGGAAACCGACTAAGGAGATGAAAATTTTCTCATCATTAATCTATTTTGTCAATAAGTTTACAGGGTTGTTGTGAGGACCAAACGAGATCATCTATGTAAGTACTCTGAAAACCTTTAACGTCCACTATGTAGATGTCAGCTGTTACTAAATAGGAAATTGTACAAGAACCTAGAAAGCAATGCAACTTGAAACACAAGGGATCCAAAAAGACTTGGTGAAGTTCTAGGATCTTAAACTTGCACTAAGTTTTAAGATATTAAAACAGCACCAAAACTTTTGGGACACGCTGTACACAGAAATGGTGCTTGAACCCTGTGAGGTCTGTATTTTAAAATGATAAATTCAAGCTTAATTGACTGGCTATTCTGTTTTATGGAAGACAACAATTTGAACTGAATTAAACTCCTTTACAAACTCTTCAATGCATCCATGCTCTCTTCATGAGGTCTGCAATGGGACCGCCATGGGAGGCTCTCTCCTCCTGAGTGCGTGTTCATTTTCTCCTGTAAGCCCTCTACAGAAGATCTATGCAATGTACTATGAGATTTTTTAAAATGCTGTGGGTCAAATACTGAAGCTGAAGCTTAAATACTTTGGCCACATAATGACAAGATCAAACTCACTGGAAAAGACCCTGATGTTGAGAAAGATTGAAGGCAAAAGGAGAAGGGGGAAGCAGAGGATGAGAGGGATAGAGAGTGTCACAGAAGCAACGAACACGAGCATGGAGAGACTTTGAGAGACAGTGGAGGACAGACAGGCCTTGTGTGCTGTGGTCTGTGGAGTCACCAAGAGTTGAACAGGACTGAGTGACTGTACAACAGCCACAAAGATCCTAGGACAGCCCTTGGGCTACCCATCTGCTACCCTTGGCTCAAGGCAGCTACATGATTGGGCCAACTCTTTTCCCAATCATCTGTTTCTTAGATGGTGTCTTTTCTACCACCTGTTTGAAAGTCATCACTAGTGACACATTAAGGCCAATTTACACCCACCATGCATTTCTGCTGCCTCTTTGTTCATCTATAATGAAGATCCTTCAATGATAATGGTACTGCATGATTTGCAACCATGTAGCATAATAGGAAGAATATGTATCTGTATGTCAGAAAGCAGTCTGAGTTCACTTAAAAGCAGGATACGATTCCTAATCTAGCCCCTCTCTTCCTTGGATTCAGTGCTGGGTCTGGCTGACTGACCATCTGCACTGCCTGCCCAACATGTACTCACTCACCTACTGGACTGCCAACCAAAAACATCTCCCACCACAGAAGCAGACTCCTTTGGCAAGCAAGGGTCTCACACCCCACATGATATAATTAATCGTAAGAATAACATTGCCTACATACGCCTTACCAGACTGTTAAAAGTGGTGGCATGTTGTTCAAGTTCCACCTGTGTAAAACTAATCCCAACAGTTTTTATTGTCAAGTTTTTCCATCCCAAGTGAAAGATTTACAGGCCATGAACAAGAGCACAGGATGCACTCTTGCACATGCTATTTGGAAGGGCACATTCACACAGATAACTGAGCCCTGGATCCACTGAAGCATTATGATTCCCAAGTCCAACCCCGTGCTGAATGCCTAACCACAGCAATGTAACTGGAGTGGAGAAGGCGATCATGTCTCTATTTATGAAGAACACCAACTATACTGACCTACATATTTTCCTCCTTTTTTTTTCCCCCAGAGGCTGTTCTGATAAAATGGGGAAGATAGACTGTTTATGAGGTAAAAGATAGATCTCTGTCAGGGTAAAGTAGATGTCTGAGAGCAGTTTCTCACCTGAACCAAAGTTTGGGGATGTATGTGAGCTATCAGCAGGAACAGTTCCTTTCAGAACAGATGAACAATTGAGGAGCTGTAAATAATAAAAGACATTTTCATTTACTAACAGAAAAAAAAAACAACTAAATACCACTTATACACCTTCAATTTTTCTTACCTGCAGTAGAAACAACTGAATAACCATGGGTGAAATTATGGAGAAAAAGTGGAGAAAGGAATCTTTTTTTTTCCTTACTCAAATTTGGTGCTTGTTGAGAGGGCAGAAGGGGGAGAGAAAAGACCCGAGTAGGAAATGTATGCGAGTATATATAGAGTATCTTCATGCCTAATTAAGTTACGTGATGCTTAGTTTCAAAAATCTAAAGGGCAAATACCTTTAACATGGAAGCTATAAATGAGGATCTCGCTGATACTGCTTATATTCTGCTCACAGAATGTCAGTTATGCAAGAGGGTCTATGCAAGGGTCAAATGGTACTTCCTGCCAAATATACTATTACATGAATTTGATATCGACTGTCAAGTTTCCAACAGAGTTAGTTATGGAAGTATCCAAAACAGGTGTAAAAACAGAACAAACTCTGGGTCGTTTAAGGTAACAACTTTTCATTTCAAGATAGGAAACCTGAATTACATGATAAACTTAACTTCTATTCATTCAAAAACCAATTGTACAACAACTGGGCTAAATTAACAAGGCAATCTTTAGACTAACAATATTTTTGATAACCAATACACTAGAAAAACTGGCTATTCTCCCACAGTAACACCAATTTAAAGATAAAGTGAGTCATTCATTCCAGGCTTATTGAATGGCTGCTGTATATAGAGCACTAGATGAGGTGCTGGTTGAGACACAAAACGTATCTAAGATATGTTCCTTTGCCCTTGTGGAGACTGTAGCACAGGAAAGGAGAAGTCAGAGAGAGAATGATGATCAAAAAAATATTAATTACATCATGACAGGGTTTGAGAGAGACATAAAACAAAGTTTCAATGAAATCCAGAAGGGAAGGTCATCACCTACACAGAGGGTGTGTGTGTGTGTGTGTGTGTGTGTGTGTGTGTGTGGGGGGTGTGGGAGGGGGTGCGTGGTGTGTGTGCGGGGGGATGTGTGTGGTGGGGAGGTGTTATGTGTGTTGAGGAGGGAGGGAGAGAAATGGCTATCTTCAAGGTTTTCTCTAAGGAACGGGTGGGAATTCAATTGTTTGTTGTCATTTGTCATCTGCTCTAGAAGAGGACCCACACCATCAGGAAGGCGATGTCTTGACTTGCGAATGAAGTGGATTTAGGTAAGGCAAAGTCACCAGGCTCATTTTCTTGTCTGGTGCTGTCTGGGTACAGTGGGAAGACGCAGATTAGGATGACTAGCGATAGCCCCAGCTGCAGTGGGAGACCTTGGCCTTTTTTTCATTCACTTTTTAAAAATGTTATTTATTTATTTTTAGTTTTCCACATTCACTTCCATAAGCTTTTAATTTTTAAATTTTCTCTGCCTCCCTCCCCTCTCCCCTTCCCAAGAGAGCGTGCAATCTGATACAGGCTCTACATATACATTCCTATTAAACATATTTTCACATTAGTCATGTTGTAAGGAAGAATTATTATAGGAGGAACCACCAGAAAGAGGAAACAAAAAAAAGAAGAGAGCAAACAGCATGCTTCTGTCTGCATTCAGACTTCAGAGTTACTTCTCTAGATGTGGGATGGCCTTTTCCATCGTGGATCTTTTGGAGTTGTCTTAGATCCCTGCATTGCAGAGAAGAGCTAAATCTATCAGTTAGTCATCTAACAATGCTACTGTTACTATGCACACCTTCTAGGATCTAGATTTACAATACCAAATGCATTTTCGCACAGAATGATTGTTCTCTACAGTGGTTAGGCTCAATGATAATATACTGTAATATTATTATTACAGCATTTGCTACCCATGGAAAAAAATGGGTCAAAATGAATTTCTTACGAGAGTGTAACAAATCCCCAAGCACCTATATGACCAAAAGAGGAGACAGGTTGATCAAAGAGAGAGAATGATGGATAACATTTGGACAACCAAAGAAAGGACTTGAGCTCACTGGGCAGATTCCACATGAACTAGTTACGAGGTCCCACTGACAAGTATCAGGGCAGCTAGGTGGTACAGTGGATAGAATGCCAGGCCTGGAATCAGGAAGACTCCTAAAATCTGGCCTTAGACACGTACTAGCTATGTGACTCTGGGCAAATCACCTAACCCTGTTTGCCGCAGTTCCTCATCTATAAAATGAGCTAGAGAAGGAAATGGCAGACCAGTCTTTGCCAAGAAAACCCTGGATGGGACAACAAAGCGTCAGACCCAATCGAGCAACAACACGTGACAGGTCCCATCCCAAAAGATGAGGCAGTGGGGGATGAGTTGTCAGAACCTCAAGAAGATCGCCGACCTGTCAAAATACCAGAGTGCTGACTTTGTGACCTAGTCTGCAATCCAATAACACCATCTCTCTCAAGAACTGCATGCTGATTTCTGAATCAACTCACAAACCAATCTCAAGTTTTTTAATTGCCTCAAAAAGAAGTGGGTTCCCCTCACTGGAGGTCTGTAAGCAGATAACCAAGTGACCACCTGCTGCATGGTCTGGTGAGAATTCCTTTAAAACATGGGTTCTTAACCTTCTGACAGTCTGGGGCAAAGGTGGGGAACCTGCTCGACGCCACATGTGGCCCTCTAGGTCCAGAACAATTCCCCTTTCTGCAAAACTTGGACTCAGTCAAAAGGCCACACCCAAGGACCGAGAAGGCTACATGTGGCCTCGGGTTCCCCATCCTTGGTCTGGGGGAAACCAATTATATTGAAATAAAGTTATTAAAATATTTAAAAAAGAAAAAACAAGTTCAGAACCCCCAAGTTAATAGTGAATGTTTGTTAAAGGGCATAAATTAGTTAACATGGCCACTGAGACCCCTTACAACACTCAAATTCTGCGTCTATAAAACTGGGAATTGACTGTAAACCACTTTAAGGAGCCAGTGTGAACAGTGTAGCCCAATGGAAAGAGTGCTAGGCCTAGTCATGATCCCTGAAAGGTCATGGGCAAGTCACTTCCTTTCCCAGGCCCTCAGCTTCCCCATCTATTATCTTTTCTCTTTCAGATAAATCTGCAGAGGCAGAAAGCAGAAATCTTATGTCCAGAGAATGGACTGAATGCCCTCAGAGGCAGCTTTCAGCTTGAAATCAAAGACCCCCACCTAAAGTGAATCTCATAGAAGGTCAGAGCCTGAAGGCAGCTGAGAGAGCATCTGGAACCCAGTTCCTTTACTGTTCAGATGACAGCCCAGGAGGTGGGGAACCCAGCACGGCTAGGCCCTTGTCTTCTGGGTCCCTGCTCACTGGGCCTCTGCATTCTCACCTAGAGAAAGCAGGAGTGGCCAGATCTCCAGGTACTCATGGTCAAGTCAAAAATTTACACTTCTCAAAACTGAATCATTTTCCCCTTCAGATCAAAACCTCAGGGAATGGCACAAATCTTAAAATTCTTAGGAAATAACAGACATTAAATTAATTTGGGGGACAAGGGGGAGGTCAGAGGGAAGACGGGGCATGGTCAAAATACATTTGCCCTCAGCTTTCCACACACACAGCAGCTGCCTCACCCTTTGCTCAGTTACTTGTGAACTTTTTTCTTTTGTCTCAAGGTTTTACATGGTAGTTCTGAAGCATCGAGCTTTGGAACACAGGCATGTGCCCCGATTCCTGATGCTGCAGCTTGAAAATAACTGGGAAGTCACTTCTCTCAAGCTGATCTTTCCTATTTCACCTCTTTACAGAACTTCCCCCAGAATCACTTTTTACCTATATGGAAATGGGGACCAATCATTCAACTTGGGATCCAAATGGGACAAAGGTTCTCCACCTTTCCTGTGTCCTGGCCCTCTGGGCAGTCTAGTGAAGCCTTCTCAGAATCTGGCTGTAAACACATAAAATATAACACAGAGGATTGCAAAGGAAACCACCTATGCTGAAATACCATTATCAAAATTCATTTTCAAAGTTCTATCATCATTAAATTTCTCAGAACTATTTTCTAAATCACATCAAATTTCTAAGAACCCCTGAAGCTGGATATAAGGAAATGCCAAATTTTATGAAATGCTATACGTAATACATTGATCTTGCAAATTCACTTCAGCAAGCATTTCCCAGAAGCTACCAATGCGAAAGGCAACCCTGAGAGGACACAGTAGGAGACCACGTGAAGAATAAAGCCTTGGCCTTCAAGGAACTTCCAGTCTCCTTCGAGGCAGAGGCCTGGACACCCTTAAGTACAACATGGCCCAAGAGGGAAGGCACCAAATGCAGGTGGAAGAGCAGAAGAGCAGGGGAAGCTGAAGGTAAGGACAGTCTTAGTCGGGGGAAACAACTAGGAAGGACTTGAAAGAACTAAATTCCATATGGATTAGGGAGAGCAAAGCCTCAAAGGAAGAAGCAGCACTGGACAGGCAGACATAAGGTGGGGACTAGGTTCCAGGATGAAGTGCTAACCAGTGTGTCCCAGGTGGGGAAGAGAAGAGCTTCTATCTAGTTCAGTCTGGCTGAAATGGAGGGCAAACTTCGAAAGGCACGGAAGTTCTAGTCCTGATCCTTCTCCAAGCTGCTGAATCAACTAGTTTTTGACTTGGCTCTTCTGAAGGGGAACAAATGGGTGACAGGATAACATGACAAGGGAAAAGGACCACCAAGAGTATATGGGAGAAGCTAGAAAGCTTGAAAAAAACCCCCCACCAATCCTCACCTCTGATAATTCTTTCCGGTGATAAACAAGACCCCAGGGCTAGGGCTAGAGCTACAGGCCGCCAGTGGCACAAGGGATAAAAGAATGGGCCTGAAGTCAGGAAGACATAAGTTCAAATCTTGCCTCAGATACTTACTAGCTTGGTGACTCCGGGCAAGTCACTGCCTCAATTTCCTCATCTGTGAAATGAAGATAACAGTGTGTACCTCACAAGGTAAGGATCAGATGAAATAATGGCCTGGTACATAGAAGACACTTCAATGTCCTTCCTTTCTTGCTTCCTTAAACAAGTTTCAATA